AAATGGACTAATGGACAATACTTTGATGAGCCGCTGATAAAAGCTAGTCCTATCCTACTTAACCAGTTTTTTGATACGCTAATGGTTGTATATAAATCAAACAAACTCTATACAAAATCGAGTAGATTGAAAAGTGTATCGGAACACGACAGCTTCTGAAATCTGATTGACGTTGTCTTTTACATTGCTACGTGACGAGCCRAGACAAAATTTACAACGTGCAATTAGCKATACACTGCCGTCAAGAAATATTTCCAAACAAACTGGTGGTTGGAGCGAAAGCACTTTAGTTACCTTATTGCTAAYTGCAGTTCAGAAATTTTGTTTGGACTGGCCGCGTAGCAAACGAAGGTACGTTCTGTTATATAATGATAATTAATGTTAATAATCTCCCAATAGAAGATGCACTGTTTTCAGTTTATACTATAAGCATAATGAGGGATAAAAATACCTCGTCTTTTAGAAGTGTCGGGGAAAACTGGCGCGGCCTAAATCATACATCTCCCTAAGTTAATCTAAAGGCACCTAAACAAAGTCCTTGGGTTGAATGAAAACTGAGCGAAATATATGATATACTGCATATATGAAAAGACAGTGGCAGAATATTCTAATTGTTTAAAACTGAACCATAAGTAAAAATATCATTTCAATAATAATGATTTCCCCTCAAAAAAGTGGTAAAATCATAGATGAATGCGTAGTATATAATCACGCATACCGTCTACTAAGAACCCTTTATACTAATTAAAATCCAATATGTGCTTAAGGGGGGAATCGTTTCATTGACGATATCACGTGTCCAATGCAAACTGTTTCCACAACAATGCTCTATTAGTCGTCGTCGGATTCCTTCTTGTTTTTCTTTCCAAGAATCTTCTTTAGCGATTTTGACATGTAGTACGGCTTCTGCTCTGAACCATCATTGCGTTCAAGATCCTCCACTAGAATCAGAAAACGTGATTTATATAAATAGCCGTTTTTTTATTTGTTCATCTTGGCTCATTGTTTTAGAACTGAAGGTAAATCCACCAATAGATCTTAAAGCCCCACCCTGGATAAGCCCCACCCTGGATAAGCCCCACCCTGGATAAGCCCCACCCTGGATAATCCCCATCCTGGATAAGCCCCATCCTGGATAAGGGTGTTTTATCAACAAGATCTACTCACAGAAACACAGGAAGACAGTATCGATAGCCATGTTGTACACGCTAAAAAACGCCGAGGATATCACATATGAACCAATCACTATGATCTAAAAGAACAATAACTATACATCAGTACTAATTTGAAACAAT